AGTCTGGACCGATCTTAGCTCTACAATGAAGGACAAACACGTCCTTATTCTGGATTGAGTTGTTTTTGTCCATGAGTCAGAGAACGAGGACCGTCCTGCACTCCCTAACTCTAAATTATAATTATACGAAGGTGATTTTTATATTCTGCAAACTGCGCTCGGCCTTCCGACTCTCTTCTTAATCCGGTCGTCCTCCCAATGACATTTTGGCTAACCGCGACCCATTTCACTTTAGAGTCTGAATTGATGGGTTGCACTGGGGCGCGGAGCTGTGGCTCATGGAACTAGGGGTGTCGGGGGAGAATTTGTGCATAGTGTGGGTCTCTCAGGCATGTGACCTTTTAGGTGGGCTTGTGATCCCTGACTTTTGCCACCACAGCAAAGTCAGGGATAAACCTCCGGTAATAATTAGTCCCAAAAAGGATCTCACATGCGTCTTTGTTAACTTCAGCCCGTCCTGGATGGCACAGAGTTTTGCCTCCTGGGGTTTGACCAGGCCCCGTCCGATGGTGGACCCCAAGTAGTAGTACTTAGTCTCCCCAAAGGCCGGCTTACATTTCATGGGATTCGCTGTCAATCCTGCTTGTGGGAGGGACTCCAGGACCTTCTGTGCACGAGGTAAGTGGCTTTGGGCTCTGAATCACATCTTCATCCAAATATCCTTGCTGGGGTTCAAGTACCTGATCCTTTAACCGCTGGAACGTAGCGAGCCCAAGGCCTTAAGGCCTCCTGGGGTGCTGAAGGTCGTCATCTAGGCCTACAACTTTGTCGTGGTGTTTGAACGGATGTTACTCTGAGATGAGGACAAACACGTCCTCATCTGGACTGAGTTGTTTTTAGTCATGATGTCAGAGAACGAGGACTGTCTTGCACTTCTGAACTCTAAATTACATTACATTTACATTACAGGTCATTTAGCAGACGCTTTTTATCCAAAGCGACTTACATTACACTTTAAACCCATGGCTTTTTCACATTTTTGCCCCGGGAGCAATTAGGGGTTAGGTGTCTTGCTCAGGGACACTTCAACATGGAACATGGGGCAGCCTGGAATCCTGTGGGTGGAGACTTTGTGTCACTGGCTTGTTGAATTTCTGTTGGGATGGACGTGTTACTACAAGTCCAAACACGTCAGGGAGCAGCAGGGAGAATTTTATACAAACGGAATCCTGTATGATCGGCGCTTGTGTGAGTGCACCTTCACTCGTGCAGGTTTTGGATGAAGTAGTTTATTTATTGAAGAGCTTCAGTTCACATCACCCAAGACGTCCAAGGTAAGAAGAGAGTGACTTAATAGATGTTAATATAATCATAACACCAACATTATGTGAGGATTCCTGGATTACACAAGATATTTACGGGTAGTAACGTTGTTTGTTATCTGCTTTAAAGAGATTAAACGATAAAAAGATGCAATTTATTGACGACATATGAGAATATAACCTGTAGATTGTGGATTTAAAGGATCTGAGGGACTCAGCAGACCTGCAGCTCTCTGGGACTTTGTTCCTCATATGTGGAGCAGATAAACTGAACTTCCGTCTAGCTGTGACTCTGTGAACAAGAAGGAGACAAACTAAACAATCAGGGATAAAGAAGTCAGTCTCTGAATTAAATAGAACTTTCTCCGTTTATTTAACTTGCAAGCAGTGGCGGCTGGTGTATTTTATTTTGGTAAGGCCAGTCAATCAGTTTGAGTAAACATCCCAGTATGATTCAATGTAAAAAAGGCATCAAACACGCATTATTACTTTGCAGGTAAATATTTAACATGAGAGGAGATGATCTGCAGCATCCTGGTGATCTTCATCCTGACCTCCTGTGTCTGTGGTCGGTTCACTTTTGTGTTTGTGAAGCAGCTGTGAAGCATCAGCACACACTCCTCAGGAACATCTGGAGATGGAGTCTAAAGGCTCCATGTTAAAGCTGTCACTTTGTCACCTCCTCCTCTCCTTCTCTGTCTCCTCAGCAGGGTCATTTGTAGTGAATGTGACACAGAGCTGGTATCATGCAGAGGAGAACCACAACATCTCACTGGAATGGATGTTCCCCACCAGCACGGACCCCTCCCCCAACGCCCTTTATGTCTCCTGTGAGATGTTAGCTGATGAGATACCCGTAGTCGTGTTTGAGCTGTATGAAGGTGTCGAGGTCCCAGAGCTGCAGGATAAACGCTTTGCAGGACGAGTCCAGTGGGACAAAGACGTCCTCAGAGAAGGACGACTCAGACTTCACATCTCCAGACTCCAGACTAATGACTCGGGGCTGTACTGGTGTCAAGTGGACACAAGTTATGGGAGGAACTATAAGGAATGTCACCTCAATGTCACTGGTAGGTTCATCAAGTTTAACTTTCTAACACGTTTAATTCAGCAGCTTTATTCAGATAAATAAACCTTTTTCTTTACATTAATAAACAGATTTGTTGTGTCTCTTTGCAGCAGTGAAGGATCGACCCGAACCTGAGACAACGACTGATACCAGACTGAGATGGATCGGCCTCTACTGGGCACTGGGACTGACAGCAGCTCTACTGGTTGTTTATTTATTTTATCTCTGCTTTGCAAACAAGACCAGTGATCAGCAGAACATACGATACACCAGAAACACAATTCAAGTTATTGATCCTTTAAGATTTTGCACAGAAACAGTCTGAGTTGTTCTGACTGAAGTCCAGCTGAGACACATCTGGATCTTTGGATGTCTCCTGTGTGTCTCATGGACCAACAGCAGCATGATGGTATCAGTGAGTCTACAGAGACACTTGTGACTCAGGGAGCCCAGCTGGTGAACGCTGAGCCCTGTTGTGTGTGTGATGGTCAATTAGTTTAGTTTCATCAGGACCAAACTGATTCACCTTCTGACATCACAGCATGAATGTAAGTCAATGCTGACATGAAGTGTCAGGGAGACTGTGGGTGGAGAGTCCAATCAGAGGATCAACAGTTGACATACTTTTGTTTTTTGTTCTAGACCTTCAGCTCCTCTAACAGAGACTCTGACTACTGAACATATTCTGCATTAAGCATCATGCTGCTCGTCATCAAAGACTAATGTTTATTCTGGTTCCTGTTCATAAAGAACGGAAACACATTAATATTCTGTATGTTAAGCCTGTAAAAAGAAAAATAGATCCTCACGATGCCTCAATATTGCATTTTGCACATAATGCGATTAATCGTTAACCACAGAAAAATCGTGCGATTTATCAAATTACATTTCTTAATCTTTTCCTAACATTAATACACACCATTTCATATTTGTACAAAAAATACACTGTTAAATTACTTTTATTTATTTAATATATTGTGCCTGGAATAAAGTATTACCTGTTTAATCACTACGAAATCAGTCTCTTCATTTGTCGTATTAATTCAATAAGTCACATAGTGATCAAATCCATCCTCAATAA